GTCGGGCCTGTCCCCCTGCAGGGGATTGTCGACGAAAAATAAAAGATACCAAACAATAATCCAATAATAGTCTGGGGACTACTTCTTGAGTACTTTTTGGCCTTTTGGGTGCATTTTTGGGTATGTTGTATTTTTTAGATGTCGAAAATCCCCCTGTAGGGGGACACGCCCGACATAAGCGCAGCGTCCTCCCGCTGCAGGAGCTCCTCGTGCGTTCCGTCGTCCGCCACGCGGCCGTCCTGCAGTGAGGCAGAAAACGCCGGGCCGGAGGGGCAGACAAGTAGGGAGCCCACAAGGGACGTACGCGCCCAGCTATGTGCATGAGCACGGCCCCTCGATCCGCGAGACTGGCCGCGTTATACGAACATTTGCGCAGTGGAGGACAGACCGGTACCGCCCCAACTTCGAATCCTCCCACCTCGTCGACAGCGCCCGGCCTGTCGACACCGGCCCATCACGCTGCACGAGCTCAAATTGCTGCTCAAACGATGGAAATATCGCACGGCGCCTGGCCCAGACTATTTGTCCATGGATCTCATACGCGAACTCGATATTCACAAGTGCGTACTCTCGAAACCATCGTGGACTCATGTGCATGTACGGCCTTCTGTCGCTCCTGAACATGAGGATCTGGGGGACGCCGCACGGAGGGAGGGCGCCTTCTTGGAAGGGGCCCACAAGCACACAGAGAAGTGCACACACAGAATCGAAGCCCCTACCTTTCCCCATACCTTCAGGGCTTCTGCCTTCCCCCCCCCACCTCCCATATATGATGTCCCATAGTCTCTGGGGAGTCGAGGTGGATCGTGCCCGTGTGTTTTCTCCCCCTGGTGGTTCCTCTCCAGGCAGATGCCGGAACGTATGACCACCACGAGGCCCGCTCTCGTGGGGCTCCCGAACGGCCTGCACCCGTCACGCCGTCGCGCCGGCAGCCCGGGGCGCCGCAGCCCTGGGCCTCCCCACGGCTCCCCCGTCGCGCCGCCAGCGCCGGGCTGCGGGCTCCCGCCCGCCGGGGCTCACCCGCGGGCGGGGCGCTCCTCTCTCCGGCCCCCCCCCCTGTCCCCCCCCCTTCCTCCTCCTCCTCCTCCTCCTCCTCCTCCTCCTCCTCCTCCTCCTCCTCCTCCTCCTCCTCCTCCTCCTCCTCCTCCTCCTCCTCCTCCTCCTCCTCCTCCTCCTCCTCCTCCTCCTCCTCCTCCTCCTCCTCCTCCTCCTCCTCCTCCCCCCTGCTCCTCCTCCTCCTCCTCCTCCCTGCTCCTCTCCTCCTCCTCCTCCTCCTCCTCCCCTCCTCCTCCTCCTCCTCCTCCTCTCTCCTCCTCCCTCCCTGCTCCTCCTCCTCCTCCTCCTCCTCCTCCTCCTCCTCCCTCCTCCTCCTCCTCCTCCTCCCTGCTCCTCCTCCTCCTCCTCCTCCTCCTCCTCCTCCCCTCTCCTCCTCCTCCTCCTCCTCCTCCTCCTCCTCCTCCTCCTCCTCCTCCTCCTCCCTGCTCCTCCCCTCCTCCTCATGCTCCTCCTCCTCCTCCTCCTCCTCCTCCTCCTCCCCCCTGGCCCGCTTCCCTCCCTCCTCGCGCGCCGCCGGGGCGCTGCCCCGCTGCCGCTCCCGGCGTGCAGCCCATGCTCCCGCTCCCCCGGCGCTGCCCCGCTGCAGAGGCTGCGCCGTGGCGCAGCTTCGCACTGAAGGGGCCCTGGGACACATAAATAAATACACACAAATGAAATGGTTCCCCATATTTTCCCATATTTTCTGGATGTTTGTCTTCCCGCCCAATTCCCATAGTTTCCCATATTTTCTGGGGAATCGACGATGAATTGTGTCTGTGTTTTTTGTTCCCCCTCCTGACACACGGCCAGCGCACCTGGTGGACACAGCGTTTTGCTGCCGGCAGTCCCTGAACCCAGTACTGCTTCAGCCACTTGCTCGACATCATCACTGAGCCCTGGCAGCGCCCGTGGGTGCGCCCTCGCCCCGACCCGGCTGTTACCACGGTCAGGAGGACCCCAAGGGAGCCCCAAGGTGGCCCCGAGAAGCGTCCACGAGACCAAAGGGCACGAGAGCGCCCCAAGACGCCCCCCAGAGGAACCAAAGAGGCCCCCGCGAGGCCTCAAGAGGCCCCAAAGAATCCTCCAAGAGGCCCCCAAAAGGCCGCCATACACCGCGAAGCGAGAGGAAAAAAAGAGGCTCTTAAACAAGCAGAGGACACCACCAAGCTACCTTCGAGATGGGGCACGAGAGACATCAACACGCTTCAATTTTGAGCAAGGAGGCCCAGGTGGGGGAACCAAAAGGTACAGATACCCATACTCCCTGGGCCTCTCCCAGGGTGCGTTCTCACCAGGATTCCAAGGCGAATCCAGCCGTGGCGACGAGGGCCTCCCAGGAGGCCAACGGAAAAGGGAAAACGAGGAAAGAAAAGCGGTGTCCGTACCGTCGTCCTACTCTGACCAGAGGCCCCAAGAGGATGGCTGAGGGGGCCGGTTGCACAGGGCGCAGCCCTGCAGATGTTAGAGAGGCAAGGACAAGTAGCAGACCCTCCCGAGCCACCTTTGGGCCACCTTGGATACGACCGTCCTGGAGTCTTGGACAGAGGCACCCTTTCTAGAGCCATCTCGGGCAATCTTGGGGCCATCTTGGGCCATCTGGACTGCCCCGCCCGCGCGCGCGGAACGCGTGTCCGCATCATTGCCACACGTCTCCGCGCAGCTCGCACGGGCAGAGGCGGGGTACAGTCATCGGCCTGACCTAAGGAACGATAAATGAGGAACGAAGCCCCTTGTTTATCCCAAGGAATGACGCATAAGGAACGCTAAACAATAGATAGCGCATAAGGAACTGAAAATAACGCATGCAAACCTAAGGAACGAGCGAGCCCCTTTTGAAAAGTAAGTGCTCCTTACTCAAGCCGCTCACTGTATGCGCTCGCGGCGCCGCCGATGCAAAAAGACCCCGCCGAGCCCGCGCGCAGCTGCGGGGGCCGTGCCGGGCTTCGCAGAGCTGCCCCCGCGGACCGCCCGGATGGCCGGAGGGCGAGCGGAGGCAGCGGCGGCTCCACGTCGGCCCCTCGGGCCCCTCCCGGAGCCCCAACGCGCCGTTGTTCCGAGCCGCGTGCGGCGGGGGCGACGAGAGGGGCGCGGCACGAAGACCAGCTGCCGCAGTCTCAACGGGCCTTCCTCCTCCTCCTCCTCCTCCTCCTCCTCCTCCTCCTCCTCCTCCTCCTCCTCCTCCTCCTCCTCCTCTTTCCCCTCCTCTTCCTCCTCCTCCTCCTCTTTCCCCTCATCTTCCTCCTCCTCCGCGCGGCCCGAAGGCCAACATTTTTTTTTTCCATGGAGCGCGCCTTCATGTCTACCGAGTCGGCGTGCTTCGTCGACAGAAGCAGCGCTGCACCGAATCGCCCTACGCGGCCTGCAACATCGGCCCCAGATCAAACGAACCCCCCCCTCACGGACTGTCGGCTCGCCTCGTGTACGTTCACACGACGCGGAACTGTCAAACAGAATTGTCTAACAGACTGTCGGCTCGCCGGGGAGGAGGAGGAGGAGGAGGAGGAGGAGGAAGACCAACTGCCGCAGCCTCAACTGGTCCTCCTCAGAGAATCACCTGCCACTCCACCGCCCACGCCACCCACGACCCTCCGCGCTGCCTTCCCCGCGCGTCAATACCCTCCTGCCTCCGACCACGTCCCCCCCCGCCCCGCGCCCGCCCCAGGCCCCGCACCCCTCCACAGGGCCGGTCCTGGGGCCCCCCTCCCGTGGACCTGTCGGTGCAGCTCTCTGCCCTGCGGATTTGGACGCCCGAAGTGGGTACGGAAATACTGGGCACAATGCCCAGCAGCAAATGTTGTCCCAAAGCAGCAGCGGCCGCTGCTGGGCGGGCGGCCTTCTGCCTCAAATGGACACAGGCCGCGGCGGCGCCGACAGCAAGTCCCATGCAAAACGAACAGGAACTGCTGTTGGGCATCGTGCCCCATCCTTTCCGTACCCCTTTCTCGGGGGCGGCAAAGGGGGGGTGTCCAAGAGGGGGGGTGCAAATCATGATCGGCGGCATGTGCGCGACCCAGCGGAGGGCCAGGGACGTAATGAACTGAGAAGAGCGCCATGAAATCTGGGGAAATATCATGGCCCACGCCATGATATCCACCCCCCCTAGTCATCACCCTCCTCTTTTCCGCCCCCGACTTTCGTTCGTGCAGAGCGGATGAGCGTCCCGCGGCCGGCGGATGGCGGGGGGGTCCTTCATTGCTATTATCTTGTCGGCGTCCTTGATCGTGCTCAGCCGGTGGGCTATCACCTCGGCGGGCCGCCTGGGCAAAGAGCACGATGTCCCGCACCCTGCCACTCGGCCGCGGGGGCGCCCGCGGGGCTGCGCGGGGGCGCACGGGCAGGGGACGGAGCTTTTGGGGGGGCAGGGAGAGGAAGCACGGGGAGGCTGACGATCAGAGGGGGGGGCAGGAGGAGCGGGAGAAGAGGGGAGGGGGGGCGGCGGGGGCGACGGGCAGGGGGATGGGCGAGGGCGAGGGGAGCGGGGGAGGAGGGAGGATAGGGGGGGAGGAAAGGGGAGGGGCTGGAGCAGAGGAGGGCGAGAAGGGGAGAGAGGGGGAGGGGGGAGCAGGGGGGGAGGAGGGGCGAGACCGAGCGCCCCGGGGGCGAAGAGGAGGATGACCTCTCCCTCCTCCCTCAAGAGGCGAGACCCAGGGCCTGTCCTGGGCTGGTCTGCGACCAGAATCTCTACGTAGTCGAGTCCAGCAGTCACGACGAGAGGCCCCCCCCGAGAGGGCTGCAAAGGCAGACCAGTGCAGTAAAAACCTCGATCCTCTGCCGTCGATCCTCCTCGGCCTTTAAGACGACGCGAAGATCGGAACAAAATCGGATCGGGATAACTCGAAACCTCTGAGAATCGGCGGATTTGGAGGATGTATTGGGCGCCGCGGCCGCTCCAGAGCGTTCCAGAACGCTCTGAGAGCGCTCCGGAACGATCTGGAGCGATGTATCCCGATCCTAGCCCTGTTTTAGCCTTTCCCACCGCAGCGAGGACAGGACGAGATGGAGGCGGACGCCGAGGACGGGGCAGCTCGCTCGGGCAATCGCATGGGCCCCTGATGGGCGGAGGGATCGAGGCCGTGACCCCTGGCCTCGCAGAATGGCGGGCGGGCTGCGAGCCTACTCAGTGCCAGAAGTGGGGTGCGCTAGGACTTGCGGGCGGCCGCTGAGGAGGCTGCAAGCGTGGTGCGCCCAGCCATCAGCTTGTTGAGGGCCTCCTTGGAGCGGGCTGCGCGTGGAGATAGCTCGTCCTCCTCGTCTCGTCGAACCACTGGAAAACTTCACGACGCAACGACTGGATTCCGAGGATCCCCCTCGAAGTTCTGCTTACTTCGCAGCTCAGGCCAGGTCAGAGGGACTCACCACCCACACCCCACCCCAAGCCACGCAGGCCTCCGACGTTTTGAACACAATGAAAAGGCGGGCCTCTGGAGGACTTCGGCTTGCGGGGCACCGCTTGTGAGCCTCAGGACCGCCTCAGCAACTGCGGCAAATGGCGACGTTGAGGCAATGCTGCATGGTTCAACGGACCGGACCCGACCCGTGGGGGCGACGAGGGCCTCTGAAGAAAACAAGCCCGACACTGACCTCGCCGTCGTAGCCGTCCGCCGCCCGCAGTCGGCGCGGACGCTCGCGGAAGCGGCGAGGCACCGCTCCGGTACCATTCTGCCGCGGGCTGCGGCCTGGGGGCCTCGACAGCGACGAGGACGACGAACGACGACGAAGAGCCAGGAATAGCTGATCCATCGCTCACTTCCCAAGAGGGCGCTGCGACCCCCCTCCTGTTGGGGAGGCGTAAGACTCGGGTACGGGGGACTCGGGTTGGCCTGACGGGGCCATCATAAAGATGACGAGACCCACTCTGAAATTTGACGCGAGCTCCCTCGGCAAACATCCCACGAAAACTGGACCGTCAAAATCCAGGACGCGCCCGTCAAACAACGTCGGCGAACCCGAGTTCCGGCTTACTCGAAACCTACGTTTCCCCGATCTTGGGCAGCTTCAGACCAGTCGGTCGCATTCGACGCGTTCCGCGTGGGGCATCTGCGCATGGCCGCCCCTCGCCATCGCTCGGACGTCCATTCCCTGTGTTTTTGTTCGGTTTCGTGCGTGGTATTTTCGCCAAAAGGATGCTCCTCGATGGTCCTCGCCGAAGGAAAAAAGCACACGTCCGAGCGATGCCAGGGCCCAGTATTCGCAGGACCGCGGCCGCGAAGGCCTGGAGCGCGAGGGCGCGGGTGCGGCATACTTACGAGAGGAGTGCCCCACACGCTCCTCCCAAGGCTGCCGCGGCGCGCGCGCCGTGCTCGGAGCACTCAGGGGTGACCCCGAGATCCGACGTCAAAACAGACGCACAACAAAAGAAAACGGAAAGAAAACTCGACTGGAACCCTGCGGATCACAAATCGACAAAATGGAACGAAAACGGAAAGACAAGTCAACAAACAATGGAACCCATCCCTCTGCGAGGATTGCTCGAGCCGGACCGATCTGTGAGGATTCCAGGGGCCCGAGTCGGGGCAACATCGCCGAGTGTAGACAGAATCTGCGACGCCGGAATCTCCGGGCACTGGGATGTGTAGCCACAGCGCAGCACCAGGCCGCACGCACGGGCGGCAGGCCAGGGTCAGGAGACCTGACACGCCCGCGACAGCTCGAGGGTCGTCGTCTGGGTCCTTCTCCTCCTCCTCCTCCTCCTCCTCCTCCTCCTCCTCCTCATCCTTACATCATCAGCATCATCATCATCATCATCATCAGCAGCAGCAGCAACAGCATCATCATCATCATCATCATCATCATCAGCAGCAGCAGCAGCAACAGCATCATCATCATCACCACCACCACCACCACCACCATCATCATCATCATCATCATCATCATCATCATCATCATCATCATCATCATCATCATCATCATCATCATGATCATCATCATAATCATCATCATCATCAGCAGCAACATCATCATCATCATCATCAGCAGCAGCAGCAGCAGCAGCATCATCAACAACATCATCATCAATCAGCATCAGCACCAGCATCAGCATCATCATCATCATCAGCATCAGCATCATCATCATCAACATCATCATCATCATCAACTCATCAGCATCATCATCATCATCATCGGCACCATCATCATCATAATCATCAACAGCAACATCATCATCAACATCACATTCAATACCACCAACGATCACCAGCTTCATCATCATCACCAGCAGCATCATCACCGTCAAAACCATCATCAACAGCATCATCATCACCACCATCATCAGCATCATCACCATCATCATATGCATCGTCAGCAACATCACCATCAGCACCATCATCATCGTCATCGGCAGCAGCCGCAACAGCATGATCATCATCAGCAACATAATCGTCGTCATCAGCATCATCAGCATCAGAAGCAGCATCATCATCATCGTCGTCGCGTCGTCGCCAGCGTCGTCGGCGTCATCCTGCTCTCCTCATCCTTCGCATCCCTTCCTCCAATGCTTACTACACCTTGCTGTTGTTCCAGACGTTGGGAGGCCTGGGCATCCCTCCCCCCCTTTCCTGCACCTCCTCCTCCTCCTCCTCCTCCTCCTCCTCCTCCTCTTCCTCCTTATCGTCCTCCTCCTCCTTCTCTTCTCCCCCCTGTTTCTCGTCCCTCCCAGGTCCTCCTCCTCCTCCTCCTCCTCCTCCTCCTCCTCCTCCCCGTCCCTCCCCCTCCCCGGCCTTCCCCCTCCCCGTCCCTCCCCTTCCACCTCCATCCCCTCCTCCTCCTTCCCCTCCTCCTCCTTCACCTCCTCCTAATCCTCCCCTCGCAACGGACCCCCTGACGAATCCTGCGGTGAATTCTGATAAGAATTCCGAGGCACATCAAACCATGGCCACGGAAACCACCCGCGAAGATAAACAACCATGAAAAAACGTCAGAAACGCGGGGAGCTTGAACTCTCAAACCTCTAACTCTATCCTCCTTTTCCTCCGCCTCCTCCTCCTCTTCCTCCTCCTCCTCATTACCATCATCATCATTATCAACCTCTGGTCCCTTTGATTGGTGAACCACATGGAGGGCTCTGTAGAGCAGTGGAGAAACATGGTCGCCTACCGCATCTGGGACGGCGATCAAGACTGGTTGGAGTGGTACATCCTGTGCATGAAACGATTTGTCAAGGGACGCGAGGAGCCAACCGCACCACAACGCGGCAAATGACGCACGATTTCAACTTTCAACATGTGAGGGGCGTCTGCGAATATGTGCGGACGAGCACAAGGAGGACCAGACGACGGCTGATGACGAGCATGCAGGACCTGCCGCATGGCATTTCGCAGCGGGGAGCGGCGGGTCACATGACAGCCTCCCAGCTGCGACGAGACAACATCCTGGCGCGGAGCCCCCACAGTTGCACAAGGAGGCCACCCCCTGTCTAGGGCGGAGGATGCAGACACTTGGACGCACGAGCACCTCACCCCCATAGGCTCCGACATCGAGACCGACGATGGCAGCGGGGAGCGGCAGAGAGCAGAGGATGGGCCCAGTGGGGAAAGTCAGCAGCACCGAGAACAGTGAGCGGGACACACAGACGAGATGAGCCTCCTCCAGAAGACGGTGGAGGCTTGGATCCCAAGGAAGCTGCCTGGAGCACCGCATCCAGACCTGATGAAGTATGCGAACGAAGCAGAACAAGAACGTGTGCTGCGTCCACAGGCCAAACAAAACAAGGGCGACGAGATCCAGGACCCAGAGGTTGAGACGGCAGCGCTGGCGAGGCAGCAGATGGAGAGTCACATACACACCCTTGGTGGATGGTGGGTGGAGGCGGGCGGCGAAGCAAGTTGGCACAGCTGACAAGCCATTTGCGTACCGTACGTCCTGAAGCCGCTGCAGACGCCAATCTACCAGGCCCTCTTCCCGAGGCCAACACAGGCAACAGCGACAAGGGCGCGCCGCTGAGGAGACACGCCTCTTCGCTTAGCCCAAGAGTCACCAGGACAGGAAGGCTCTGATGAGCAGAGGCACTGAGAAAGCCCAACGCCAGCGCCAGATGGCCAGGACCTTCCTGGGTGGCGAGACGGCGAGGACCAGCCGACCTTGGACGATGGCAACGGACCAGGCCGCGGCAACCCTGCTGAGGAGCGTCAGATGCCTGAGGGCGGACTCCTGTGACGGCGCGGCAGCGGGCCGAGGCGACGGGGAGCCTAGGCCTCGGCAGCTACTTCGTGATGTTGAGCTGGTCGAGGGCGGCCAGGCGCGCGCCCATCAACCCTGCTAAGGAGGAGGCGGAGGAGACAGATGCCGACTGCTGCCCATACCGGCAGGCCTGCGAGGAGCGCGCCAGGCCAGAGGCCCGCCTCGGCGGCGCGCGGCGTGCCGAGGGCAACGCCGGGGCCGACGGCAGGAGGCGCTCGCGCTGCGAGCCGACGGCGCGCAGGCGACGCAGCGGCCCATCGAAGGCTCCTCCTCGAGCGCCCCGAAGGCCCAGGCCGGTGAGGCTGCCGTCCGCGGCGTCGAGGCCTCGCCCGGCGTGAGTCGTACCACTTTTTGTTGTTCCTCGCTCCCCGACCTCAGTGACTTATGGGCCTGTTTTCTACTACCACCACCAGAAGTTGGAGGGGGATGGGGTTCTCCTCCTCCTCTTCATCCTCCTCTTCCTCCTCCTCCTCCTCCTCCGCCTCCTCCTCGTCCGCCTCCTCCTCCTCCACCTCCTCCACCTCCTCCTCCTCTTGCTTCTTCCCCCTCCAAATTATGGTGGTGGTGGAAAACAGGGCCACCACTGAGTGCATGTCACCACGGCAGGGCTGCTCCGCAGCGTGAGGCGGAGAAATGAAGACGGCTGTACACTCGCACGCAACCGTGCGCAGCCCCCTAGGGCGGCCAGCCTGCCCATGCCCAGAGGCGCGCGGGGCCCGGCAGCTCACGCCGAGCAACTCACGCCCTCGGCGCGGCCCCGGCATGGTTGCTAAAACCTCGGGTCCCTTCCCTGGCGCGCGGAGCGCGCCAGGGGCGGCGCCGGAGGCGCCGCCGAGGGGGTGGGGGTCCAGCGCCGACCGAAGAAGTCCGCCAGGATCTCCAAAAACTCATGCTTGTGCCCTTGTTTCCTCTCCCTCGATCATCGTGTCCCCTGATGGCGCCAGGCGTGGATTCGTCCATAACCACCGCCTGGGAGAGCGATCCTCGGGGACCTGGGCTGGCGGCGGATATGGATATATCGAGCCCCCCCAAGAGCCTGAACATATCCACGTCCTCCGCCCGCCGAGAGGTCCCGGAAGATCGGTCTCCCAGGCTGCGGACAACTCCCGGCCTCAAAAACCCCCCTCCGCCCCTGGCCGTCGCTAAGACGCCCATTCCCCGTGCACTCGTCGGTTTCGCGCGCGGATTCGTCGCACGATGGTCCAAGACTAGAGGCCTCCTAGATGGGGTCGGAGTAGATGGGGACGGAGGATCGCGCCGTATCGCCGATACATCGGCGATGCATCGGCGATGCATCGACGACATCGGCGATGCATCGGCGACGCCAGCGTGGAGGAAATCGGGATCCGCATCGAGCCGCATCGCTGATGCGTCGACGATGCGGCGCGATCCTCCGACACCATCTGCTCGGACCCCATCTGGGAGGCCCAGAGAAGATGCGTCTCGATGGCCCACGCCGAAACAAGAGTGCACACGTCCGAGCGATGCCGAGGCCAGCCACCACAGAGGGGGCCAGTGGGTAGGCCAGCGGAGCGCTCCTGGACCTGCGCCTGGCTCACCTCGTCCAGGGCGCTGGTGGCCTGGGTGCCCGGAGGGGAATGGCAAGGGGGGGGGGGAGAATCGGCGGCGAGCGAGGGGGGGTAACGAAGAGGAAACGGGGGAAACAAAGGGGGGAAACGAGGAAGGTGGCGGGGCTTCTTAGACGCCCTCGTGCCTTCTGAGAGGGCCTCTGCGTCTGCGAGGAAGGCTCAAAAGACTTCTCAGAAGGCCAGGGGACTTCCGAGCCTTCTGAGCTGAGAAGGCCCACCACTTCTCACTTACCCCCCAGGCTCGCCGCCGAAAGAAGGCGACGTGGAACGGCAAGGGGGGACCGGCTGAGGGGGGATCATCGACCTGGAGCTGGCGATACGTCGCCGATAGATCGGCGATAGGCCCCCGATGGAAAATCCGCGGGGGTGGGCTGTCGGGCCCCTGCGGACGCTCATTGGGTGATTGTGGGCCGATGCATACCTCCTGAGAGGAGGGGGGGGGATGGAGGGAGGAGCAGGAGGGGGGGGGGATGGAGGGAGGAGCAGGAGGAGCAGGATGGATGGAGGTTGTGGACGTTGCCCCTGAGAGGAGGGGGGGGGGCGGATGGAGGGAGAGGGGGGACGAGGGAGGAGCATGCGCCTCTGGGGGGCTTCTCGTGGCCATGGCTGGATACGCCTCTGGACTTTACTCAGAGTGCGCGCCGGGATTGGCCAGGGGCTCGAAGTCTGAGAAGAGGAGGAGGAGGAGGAGAAGGAGGAGGAGCAGGAGGCGGAAGAGGAGGACAAGAGTAGACCGAAGATGTAATAACGATGCTGCACGTGCACCTTTCCGTCCACAATTCTCTCTCGAGAGAGAGAGAGAGAGAGAAAGAGAAAGAGAAAGAAAGAAAGAGAGATCCCGATGTCTTCTTTTTTCAGCGAGAAGCGCCGACTCTACAGGCGTTAACCACGTGTGTCTGTCATTGAGGCGGGAGCCCCGCTCTGAAAAGAGAAGATAGGTTGCACCCTCCTGGTGAAGACTCGGGGATGCGACATCTGGCCACCGCTCGGACCTCCACTCTCTCTGTGTTTTTGGTCGGCTTCGTGCGTGGCTTTCTCGCCCAATGATCGAGGATGCTCCTCGATGGTCCTCGCCGAAGGAAAACTGCACACGTCCGAGCGATGCCAAGACCAAGTTCTGCGAGATCTGTCCAGCGAGAGACCGGGAGGACAAACAACTATGCCTAAGACCTCCTCACAAGCTTCTCCAAAAGCAGAGGATGCTGGGCACCAGACCAAGCAATCCGCCCGAGATATCCCTACACTCTGCGCGCAAAGCCTGGAGTGCCCGCACCCCTGGCGGCTCCCCCTTGCCACTGCTGAATCCACCGCTTGCCCGCGACATCCTCACACTCTGTTCCGAAAGCAGAGGATGTTGGGCAGCGCCCACACCCCTAGCGGCTCCCCCTTGCCACTGCTGAATCCACCGCTTGCCTGAGACATCCTCACACTCTTCTCCGAAAGCAGAGGATGTTGGGCAGCAGAAGAGGCAATCCGACTGAGATATCCCAACACTCTGGGCGCAAATCCTGTGGTGCCCGCACCCTCGGCGGCTCCCCGCTGCGATTGCAGAATCCAGCGCAAAGCTTGAAGCATTTTTACAATCTGCTCCGAAAGCAGAAGATGTTGGGCACCCATCCACGTAAACCGCCTGAGACATCCCCACAATCTGGGCGCGAATCCTGACGTGTCCCCACCCCTGGCGGGCCCCCTTGAGAGTGCTGAAACCAACACGTCGCCTGAGACAGCATCACTGTCTGTGTGAGTGGTTCTGAGTATGATTGAGCCTCAGTGAGGAAGTGATGTGATTCAGCCGAGTACGGAAGAATGAATATGGACTATGAGTGAGTTTGAGTACGAGCGGGACTCAGTGTGACTGAGTCTGAGTATGACTGAGTCGGATTGCGACTGAGTCTGAGCGAATCTGAAGGAGGGTGAGTCATAGTATGAGTGAGTCTGAATACGAGTAGGTCTGAGCGTGAGTGAGTCTGAGTACGGTTGGTTGAGCCTGAGTGTGGATGAGCGAGTCTGAGGAAGAGAAGGAGGGTGTAGGGTGTGAACGGAAGATGTCTCGAGGCGTCCGCGAGTGCTGACCAAACAGCATGTCTGGAGATGGCCCCTAACGTGGCTCCGGCCAGCCTGGCGCGCGGAGGACGCTATCGGGCCAGCTAGAGCTCGACTGACAGCAACAGGCATCGGCTGGATCCAAACTCAATGCAGAAGGGGGGGAGGGCGGAACTGGCCATTGCTCGGACGTCCATTCCCTGTGTTTTTTGTCGGCTTCGTGCGTGATTTGTTCGCCAAATGATCAAGGATGCTCCTCGATGGTCCTCGCCGAAGGAAAAAACGCACACGTCCGAGCGATGCCAAGGGAATGAGGATGGGGCTCTGACTCTGACTCCGACCACTGGCGGCGCCGGCGCACGGGGGCCCAGCACTCCAAGAGAGAAAACGCCGCGGACAGCCAAGGACGCGACGACGACGACGACGACGACGATGGCGAAACGGGCCCCGAGAGGGCCCAGGAAACCCTCTAGACGGCCCAAGAGGCCCAAAGACGGCCCCAAGAGGGGGCGCAGATAGGAGAACCGAACGGACTTGTCGAGCCCTCCGCCCCGAGAGGCCCAGGAGGCCCGAAGAGGCCACCAACAGGCCCCAGGAGACCCAAAGGGGCCCCCAATAGGTCCCAAGAGGCCCCCAAAAGGCCACCAAACTGCTCCCAAGAGCCATCCGCAAGCGCTCCGAAGAGACCCGAAGAAGCATCCCTGACAACTCTGATCCACAACCTGGGCACGGTGGCGGGACAGGCCGAAGGCCATTCGACAGCACGAATGGAAGCTCCAAGAGGTCATTCTAGTCGGGATCGATGGGTGACAGGTTCCAGGAAGGCCCTCGTACACGCCTGAAGCGCTTCAAGATGGTCTCAAAATCTTAAAATACATCCCCATGAGGATCTCAATCTGCGAACAGGCGATGGTGTTGCTCAGGTGTTTGGCAGATGTTGGCGGTATAGCCTTTGCAGTCCCCCGTCCGCTCAGGACAGCCCATTCAGCCCGCAAAGTTGCAAAAAAACAGTCGAGGAAGGCCCCCCGGACGGGCCACGAGGGTCCCAACACGGCCCCATGGGTCTCCCAGGAAGCCTCCAGACCCCTCCAGAGGGTCCGAAGAAGGGGAACCTGGCATGAACGGCCGACCCTTTCCCGACAGATTGCCCCCCCCCCCCCCCCCCCCCCCCAGAACGCCAGTGAGCCCTCCAAGAGGCCCCCAAGAGCGCAGGATGCCCCAAAAGGGTTCCCAGGATGCCCCTAAGAGGCCCCACGAGGCTCCAAAAATGCCTCCGCGAGCACGCAGGCAAGTGCCAACGATGCTGCAAAGATGCCACTTCCAAGAGGGGCCAAAATGGGGGGACACGACAAGCCATGTCGAGCGCTCCGCCTCGAGACGCCCTTGACTGCTCACGCAACACCTCCACCACCCATCAGCGCCGAAAAAGCAACGAATACGCTGGCAAACGCCCGCGATGGCACAGTCTGGGCCAGCGGAATAAGCAGAGCGATTACAAAATAACAGCGGTAGCCTTATTTCGCTCGCAGATGATATAAACCTCATGCGAAGCACCTGAACGGGCCTATGGACACGTCTGGTGGTGCGACAGACAAGGAGGAGTTCCCCATCGGTCGGAAGAAGTGAGCAGAAACATAAAGTAGGAAGGCGTTGGAAATAGATTGGGTGTCCGCCCTAAGGTAGATTCGAATCTGGGACTCCAAAAATACTCACTTTCAACGACCGAGGAGTTGATACAGGGAAACACTTGAGGAGGATGCGGAAGATCTGAGCTGCTGTGCGTCGTTCGCCCTTTTCGCGTCTCTGGGAGCATTCTCCTCGCCACCGCTGGGGATTCCAACTGGAATCAGGTCGGGATTGTGTCCCCCTACAGGCGGATCGTGGCCGAAAAATGAAAAATGGGCAGGAAATGCCCACTAAAGCCCCGAAAATACTCAAAAAGAATAGTCCCCTGACCATGTCTCGACGATCTTTGGAGAGTCCTCCTGCAGAGGGACAGGCCCGACTTAAAACCTGGAATCGAGGCGCCACAGCGCCCCGGCGAAAGGGGGCGCCGGGGAGGGAAAAGGCGGTACAGCGAGCCCTGCGCCGGGCCTCGCATCAGGCGCCAGCTGGGACGTCCATCGGCGGTGGACGAACCTCCCGAGTAAACCTCCCTTCGGGGAAGACAACCCAGGACCGAAACCGACGGACCTGGACCCGCAAAAAGAACGGCCGCGACGCCCTCCTCGCGAACCAAAGACGGCCCATTCACTAATCGACGTGTCAGGGTAGGAGGTATGTCCACCTCCGAGTCCAAACCCCTCGCCTCGCGTCGAGAAAAAGCATCGACGGACGGTCTCGGGCCGTGGTCGGCCTCGTGGGGGCCTTGCTGGGCCCAGGGCCTTCGAACAACAGCTGCGAGTGGGACGCTGGTCCCTGGGACGTCCACCTTCTAAGAGAAGGCAACGTCGGGGGACTGCGTAGTCTGGCATAGGAGAGCGATGATGACCCCAAGGCACGAGAGAATCACCGGGCAAAAAAAAGCCAGGCGAGCCAGCGATCGGCAGAAGACCGCCGAGACGCGCCGCACCCTCGAGGCGAATCTCACCCGAGGGTGCGACGGGGGGGAAGGGGGAAGGGGAGGGGGAAGGAAACAGATACTCAGACCTAGAAATGCCTCGAGTGTTGCAGCACCTGTCCAAGGAATGCGACGTCCTGATTTTTTCAATACGGGACCCCTGAAGTCCCGACCCTTTCACAGGGACCGGTTTTTCATCCTGAGTCGTCTCTTGACGTTCCCGAGGCCCGGCGGGGGCCCCCCGAGGCCGAAAATGGCCAAAAACATCTTGTTCTGATTCTTTACAACGCGCTCATATCTGGGGCAATGTTTGTACTTCAATCTCGGCCGCCATGGGCCGCTTCTGCGCTTCACCGCCGGGAGACAACACGGGATGTCACACCGATCCGGGGGGGGTGGCGGGGGTGGAGAGCACCAAACCGTCCCCGCATGATTCAGAGCACCGCGTCAGAGGCCCGGGGAGCTCCAGGGGAGACGAGGAGCTGGAGGAGGAGGGCAGAAAACGAGCCTGCCAGGGAGTATCAACAAGTACCCACAAAGGGACGAGCGTCCACCAGCGACAAAACGAGGCGGCTGGGGCCTCTTCAGGAGGCGATGGGGCTCCTCAGAAGCCCCGCGGCCTCCTGGGAAGCCCCCTCTGCGGCTTCCGAGAGACGGCCCGGCAAGCTTCCCAGAGGGCCAGAGGCCCCCGGCCAGAGCCATGCCCGCCTCCCTTGCCTCCCCTCCCCCTCCCTGGAGGAGGAGGAGGAGGAGGAGGAGGAGGAGGAGGAAGAAGAGGAGGAGGGAGGAGGAGGACGAGCCCCGGCGATGAGGCAGGCGCGCGGGCGGCGGCGCGCGCGGGTGCGGGGCCCTCCCCCCGGGGTGGGAGCTGAGCGTGCCAAGGAGGACAGAGAGGAGCACGGAGGGTGGGCATTCGGGAGGAGGAGGAGGCTGAGGAGGAGGGGCGGCGCGGCACGCCTCGTCGAGCAGCAGGATGGGAGGGTTCGCGAGGATAGCTCTGGCGATGCACAGGCGCTGCTTCTCACCGCCTGGCACACTCTGACGGTTGCCGTCGTCCTCCTCCCCCATCCTCGTCCTCGCCGTCGTTGATGCTCCTCGACTGGCAACTCTAAACCAACCTTTTTTCTCTCATATCTCCTGTCGCCCCCCCCCCCCCTCCATCACATCATCCCCATCTCCTCCTCCTCATACTCATCCCACTCCTACTTATGCTCGGTCATCGCCGTCTCGTCCTCCTTCACCTCCGTCACCTCCTCCTCCTCCTCCTCCTCCTCCTCCTCCTCCTACTCCTCCTCCTCCTCCTGCTCCTCCTCCTCCTGCTGGTGTTGCTGCTGCCTCTGCAGCGACTGGCGCAGCGGTGCACTGGAAAGAATATCCTCCTCTCCGTTCCCTTTTTCCTCCTCCTCCTCCTCCACCCCATCCGCCTCCTCCTCCTCCTCCTCCCCCTCCTCCTCCTCCTCCTCCTCCCTCCTCCTCCTCCTCCTCCTCCTCCTCCTCCCTCATCATCCTCATCCTCCCTCCTCCTTGTCCCCCTCCTCCTCCTCCACCTCATCCTCCTCCTCCTCCTCCTCTTCCTCCTCCTCCCTCCCCCTCCTCCTCCTCCCCTCCCCCTCCTCCTCCTCATCATCCTCCCTCCCTCCTCCTCCTCCCCCTCCTCCTCCTCCTCCCTCCCTCCTCCCTCCTCCTCCTCCTCCTCCTCGTCCTCCTCCTCCTCCTCCTCCTCGTCCTCCTCCTCCTCCTCATCCTCCTCCTCCTGTTCCTGTTCCTGTTCCTCCTCGTCCTCCTCCTCCTCCTCCTCCTCCTGCTCCTCCTCCTTCATCTTCTCTCCTCTTCCGCCACAGCTCGAGTGAGAGAGAGAGAGAGATCCGGAATGGAGCAGGGAGGGAAGCAGGAGCTCAGGGGAGGAAGGAAGACGGGCACCTCATCACGCCCCTCGATCCCGCCCTCTCGCTGTTCCCCAAACCCCTCCCCCGTTCCTGTCCACCTCCCACACCCGTTTCTCACCCCCGTCCTGCCCGCCCACTTCCGCGTCTCCCACCCCCCCAACACCCACTTCCCCACTTCCCCACTCCCCCATTTCCACACACACACACAAACACACTCATCCCTCGTACCCCCGCCCACACCGTTCATCCCACCCCCCTAACCCGACAACTCGCTCCTCATCCTCCTCCTCGTCCTCTCCCTCCTCCTGCTCCTCTTCCTGCTCCGCCCCTCCTCCTCCTCCTCATCCTGCTCCTGCTCCTCTCCTCCTCCTCCTCCTCCTCCTCCTCCTCCTCCTCCTCCTCCTCCTCCCCTCCTCCTCTCCTCCTCCTCCTCCTCCTCCTCCTCCTCCTCCTCCTCCTCCTCCTCCTCCTCCTCCCTCCTCCTCCTCCTCCTCCTCCTCCTCCTCCTCCTCCTCCTCCTCCTCCTCCTCCTCCCTCCTCCTCCTCCTCCTCCTCCTCCTCCTCCTCCTCCTCCTCCTCCTCCTCCTCCTCCCTCCTCCTCCTCCTCCTCCTCCTCCTCCTCCTCCCTCTCTCCTCCTCCTCCTCCTCTCCTCCTCCCTCCTCCTCCTCCTCTCCTCCTCCTCCTCCTCCTCCTCCTCCTCCTCCTCCTCCTCCTCCTCCTCCGCGCGTCCCTCCCTCCCCACCACTCGCTGCCATCCCTCACTTGTCCCCCGACTCCCTGCTGACGCCTACAAGTCCTCCTCCACCTCCCCCCCCTCTCCCCGCTCCCCTTCCTCGCCCACCCGGCGCCACTCCCGCCCTCGCTCCTCCACACAGATCTCGGAGAAGGGCACATCGAGACAAACGCAATTCGGAATCGATAGGGGTGTGGGAGTTCCCCGGGGGGGCCCCTTGCAAAACAAGCCCCTAAACCCCCTGAGGCTTGCTTTTGGGGGGCGGGGGAGTCCGGGTCAGGGGGGAGGGAGGGCTCGGGGTGTTCTTGTACGAGCTAAAAGCCATGCTGATGTGGGCCCCACCCAAAACAAAAAACTCAAGGTAGGTTTCAGTGTGGGTTCCATGTGTCCCCGTGCTGCGCCCCAGAAACCTGAAACATCGCGCACAACCCACCATCGAGTGGTGTTCTGTTGGGAGGGCCCCTGCAGGGCAGTTTTCAATACATAGGATTTCTTGCCATATAGGATCTAATCAATGATTAAGTTATGAATACATGTATGCATGAGCTCATCGTTGTTTTCAATACTAAGTCCCTGCATTTGTTATACATGATCCGCACGCGGAGCATGTATTGAAAACAGCACTGTAGGGGGACCCCCCCCTTAACACCCCACCCAGGGGTTGGGGCAGGAGGTCCGGCGGGGGGGAAAAAAAAACAATATTTCCCCCTCTCAAACAAAAACTCCTCAATGGTTGTTTGGAAAAAATCTCCCTTCAGGGGCGGCGTTTGGGGGGGTCCTGGGGAAAAAACCCTCCTCACCCCCCGAAAACCCATCTTGAGGGAGCTTCGGCCATCTAACCCTCAAGCGCCGCTTTGAGCAGGTTTTAGGGTTAAGTTGTTCCCGGCAAGGATCTCCCCTCCCCCCCTGTATAATAATAAACATTCCTTGCAGGCTTTTGGCACCTTCTGGTTCGGAGCGCAAATCCGTCTGACCCGTCCAAGGTCCCTCTAGATGGGGAGTTTTGTGGGGTCTCCAGGTGGGACGCCACCACACCCTCCCAAACACACGCCTGGAGAAGTGTGGTGGAAGGTTGCAGGGGGACAGGGATCCCCGAACCCCATGTGATCCCCCTGTCCCCCCACGAACTCCCCTTGAGGGTTTTTTGTTTGGGGGCTCCGACCAAAAACAAACTCCAAAACACAACCCCACCCAAAAACCCACCTTGAGGGCTTCTTGCAAGCCTTGAAGGTTTTTGTTGTCAACCACCTGAAAACACAGCTTGAGGATTCCCCATGAACTCTCCCAGAGGATGATTTGTAAAGGGTTCCGGGGACAAAACAAACTCCCCCCCTAAAAAATTCCTTCAAGCATTTTTGGAGGGCTCCAACGGGAAAAACTCCCTCCCCCCCCTCCCCCCAAAGAACACCTCCCCGGAGGGGGAGTTAGGGGCTCCAGAAGAAAAACAACTAATCCACCCTAGAACTATCTTTGAGGGCGGGGGACCGGTGGAACCCCCCCTAAGCTCCCCCAAAGCCCAACTTGAGATGTGTTTTGGGGGGGTCCAGAAACGAGCCACTCTAGCCCGTCCAAAAACACCCCTTGAGGGGTTTGGAAGGTTCCAGTGAACACAACTCGCTTACCCTGCAAAAAAACGCCTGTGTGATATTTGTTGGAAGGTTCGGGGTGGAGAACATCCATAACTCCCCGACACCCCGCCTTGAGGAAGGCTGTTGGGGGGGTTGGTCCTGGGGAGAGCGCCCCCCCAACCTCCCCAACAAGCCCCACTTGAGGCGGGTGGTTTGTGGCTTCTGGCATCGGAGAACCCCCTAACTCCCCCTCAATGGGGGCTAGCGTTTTTTGTTCACTGGAGGTTCCCGCCCCCTGTTGTCAAAATCGGTCCCTGGAACCCCTCCTCGGGTCCAAGCGCAGCAATGTCCCGAGCTGCGCCCGGCCGTGTCGACGAGGGGCCCCCCCCGAGGAGGCCGACCACTGCTGC